TCTGTATCTCTTTGTCTTAATTATGGATGAATTGATTAGACACATTCTAGATGAGGTTTCATGGTGTATTTTATTTGTTGTTGATATAGTGTTGTGTTAAGAGATGTCTATGAGGGGTATTTATGTACTTTGAGTATTATTATTATAAATACACAAGGCTAAGGGAGATAACCTAATTCTCTTATTAGCTCTTACTATTGTCATAAACGTATTCTCTTTCTCTCTACTTTCTTCTTCTCTCTCTTTCATAATTTACCTTGGTATCAGAACTGTATCCATAAGTTGATTTTTTTCATCTTCTTGTTTTTCAGCAATGTTGTCTACTCTCTTTCTCTCATAGTTTTTTTTTTGTTTTCTGATGAATCCAAAATAAAATAAAATAAAAAATTAGTAACATGAATGACTAGGGTCCTTTTTTTTTCTCGAAATACTTGATTCTAATTTGTTTGATGCAAAAGGAATAGAAACGAACAAAACATAAGAAGCCTGGCAAGTGTTAATGCTAATAATGTGCTCACCATTTGTCTTTTGGTATTTCAAATGGTAAATGATGTATTAACTAGAACTTAATATTTATTTATAAAATTTCTTTAGGATTGTGTATAGTTATTTGCAATCATTTATGGTGAATATGGATGATGAATAAAATGTACATTAGACAATCAATTTAGGGTAAAGTAGGAAAGTAAAAGTTTTTCATGTTAAAATATTTCTATTAGTAGAATATTTATCGTTTCCTATAAAAAAAAAAATACACATTGATCAAGAATCCTATCAATTAAGCAACTATAATTGAAGTTCATTAATTTTGTTGAACTTATAGTTAGTATTCACTAACTTATCAAACTTCAGGTCAAGAATCTATCTCGTCCACAGTTAAGTGTTTAAACAATTACGGGTTGATATTTGTCATTGTAGAGATTAAGAATCAAACATTACAATAGGATTTCAATTATTATTTTTTAAAGAGAAATTTTATTAGATAAGTTAGCCTATAAAATACCGATAAATAGTAAGGCGCTCGCTTCGGTTGCTTTTTGATTAAGCGCAACTCACTTTTTTCGACTCAGCTTAGTCTCGTCTAACATTCCAGGTGAGCAAGCTCACCTAAAGCCTGGACGTTCTTTTGATAACACTAATTACAATGATCTTAATTACAGTGATCTTACTAACTCTTGCAAGGAAAGTTTTACTCACACATTGCATCCAAACACGCAAAATGAATATTCAAGTTAAATTGTTTGTAGACTGTGAAACTGAAAATACTTGGCTAGACTTTATGAGCCCATTGAACTCTCTGGACCCGATGCTTATTCCAATGGTGATAACTTTTTTTAATGAGAATTGAACAAGTCCTCAGAATTGAGATTCAAATTTCAAAGGCAATTTCTTTTGTGGCTCTCATGTGGACCATTTTCCAGAATTATATATGCTTGCATATAGTTCTTTGGACATTTAAGTGGGATATGCCCTTTTTCACTACCATTACATTTTTAGATTTTGGTATTCGATGTCGTTGAAGGTGTCATTGCTTACGTCATCTCCTTCTACGTATCATTGGATGCGCTCTTCAAGGCCCTCCAATAGTAAATCACTTGATTGGTTCCAAATGAGTTTCATATCAAACTATTTGCAAGGGCTTTGAATTAATATATGTGTGCTGAGTTGTTTTATAGAATGGACATTAGATTATAATCCTTTTAATTTTTTCTAATAAATAAATGTTGGGATCAGTCCACATTGAACTCTTTTGACGACAAAAACCTTGGTTGATGGTCACCGGCATTCTTGAATAATTTATTTTTATTTCTCTTAACTCGAATGTTAATGCTACTTCCGTGGATTCCTTTTTGAGTTTATTAAGTTTATTTGTATTTCTTTGCAAATCCAAAGAAACCTAACAAATTATAAAGTAATTTATGGAAGCATCACATACATTCAGACTAGAACAATAAAATATAAATGATTTAAGAACACACCATTGGCCAAGGTCAAGGATCAAAATATCGTTTTGAAACGGTCGAAACGTCCAAAACGTTTCCATTTTCAAGGAGACCGAAACGAAACATTGATGGAATCGAAATTCTAATATTTGGAGGTATTTCATAATATTTCGAGATGCTTTATAATATTTCAATGCATTTGCACAATTATTTCAGAATGTTTCAAGATATTTCAAAATATTTTGATATATTTCAATCAATATTTAAAAAAAATAATTCTTAAATTTTTTATTTTTTTCATCATGTTTCCGAAACGGGTCAAAATGTATTCAAAACATGTTGAAACGTTTCCGTTTTCTAGGTGATCGAAACAACACACTGAAACGAAATTTTAATCCCTGGCCAAGGTTTTATTCATTAGAAGAAATTGAAAAAACTATAATCCAATTTCTATTCTATAATACAACTTAGCACACCTACCAAATTAATCCTTGCAAATGGCCCCATAAGAAACTCAACAAGAACTTGTCAGCTCTTGGAAGACATTAAAGAAAGCATCCAAGAATTTGGAGAAGGAGATGATGTAAACAATGATGTCATTGACTTCAAATACCAAAAATAACAAAAATGCAATGGAATGATAAGATTCTAGTGGTAAGGCTTGGTGGAAAAGGAGATGTTTCCCATGAACGTCCTAAGAACTTTGTAACAGTATCCATAATGTTTTGGAAAATGGTCCTGCATACAACAAAAAAAAATTTCTTTGAAATTCAAATCTAAAGTAATAGAATTACTTCACGACTAACATCTATATGGCTGGTCAAGTCCTCTATTAGAAATTAGAATTCTGTGAATTCGTAGTCTAGCAAGTATTTCCAGCTTTAGAGCTTGCAAAAAATTTCTCTTGAATGTTTGCTTTAGTTTTGAGTGAAATGTGCGAGAAAAAATTTCATTTGTAGAGCGAGAAAGGCCACTATAATTGTTTATATATATAGAATATAATCTTTCTGTATTGCATCATGTTGAAATCCTGCTTCAATGTCATTTCCTACGATCTTAATTTGTCTTTCCTATCTATCATATGAAAGATTTCCTCTCTATCAAAAGAGAGAACGGTAATTTAGTCGTAGTGAGGGTAGGCGGAACTATTGAAGGTGAAAATGTGTTGTGTTTTTGTTTTAGTGGCTCATAGACAAGTCCTAGTATTTTGAATCTGGCTTGGATACAGGAATGAGAAGTAGGCTTCAGGAAGCGTAGACAAAGTAGGTGGAAGCGAGATGGACCTAAAAATACATAAGCAATATATGGTTATGTAACTTATGTTTATATACTTGAACACTCGGCTCTCTCTATGGTCTCATCCTTTGGCTCTCTAGTTTCTCCTAGTAAATTATTGGATTGAGGCTAGGCTGCAGGAAAACTTTCTTCAATAAGTTTTTCTTCAGTTTCCCAATTTTGCAACCTCGAAATTACCTATTTTAATCTTTTGGCTTTTGTTGCAGATCTGTCAAATTCTTCTTCTAAATATTCTTTCGTTTCTAATCATTGAAACGTTTGAAATGGTTTTATATCCTCTTCAGAATCATAGTAAAAAAAATTTGGATGTTGATGGAGCTTCTAGCTTGCCTTTATTTTTAAGCTTATCAGTATGTTTCTCTTTGTTACTTTTCTTCTTTTTTTAATTTCAATGATGAAGGAAACTCATTTTCTCTCCATTCCAAGGTTTTTTTTGACTAATAATAGGATTCGTACATCAGTTTGAAATATAGATGTTTTTTATTCTTCAAATGTAATTTTACTCAAATACAAAGTTGTTTCCATTAATTTATAGTAGACTGCAAATTCCAGAAGTAAATTGTTTACAGTTTCTTTAAAACTGATTCCCAATGTTTTGAAGGTTAATCTTAATGCATAATGAGCATCTCTATTGTCTACCGAGAAATGGTATACTATAAAAATGTACTATTTGATAGTTTATATTTGCTTGCATAGCGCCATGCAAATGATTCACTGAAATATTTGATCTGATCATCTCTCAAGTCTTAGGATGGCTGTTTATCGAGAAGTAAAAATCAAATCTTTCTTGTAGAAAACAAAGAAATGAGATTGAAGTTGAAATTTATGTACATGGAAAGACCGAGTTCAATCAATCAATAACCATCAATTTTGATGCTAAAAGTAGAGATGGACCCCATTTTTGTGTATGAAGTAGTAGTGAACCTCTACTCTACAATAAACTAAGGATGAGGGTTGGCGAAGCTTGGACCAAAGCCATCTCAAATATTATAATAAAGAAGGGTGTTCTCATTGATTTGTCCTTATAGGGAAAAAAATTGAGAAAAAAAGAGAGAAGTCTGGTTGTAGTTGTGTCTATGTGGAATGTGTGTGTGTGAGGGGATTGAGATTGGGCCGTGAAGAAGAAAGAGGGTTCCGGGCTCAAGTTGATATATTATTTATTATAAAGAGAGAAACCCACTTGATGAAGGGGAAGGTTTTACTGGATTTGTGCCATGTGTCCAATGTTGAGCTTGTTGAAAAAAATCAGAAGGCAACGCTTGTGAGTTGTGTATTCAAAGCTTATACTTAATAATTCGAGCTCAAGCCACAAGCAACTTGATCTGGGTTTGGATATCAAATGAACTCAAATAATTGGTCAATTTTGGTTCACACTATAATATGATCGAGCCAAAACCAAGTCAATGTGAGTCGACCTCAAGCTACTCCAGTCGTTTAACTATAGTTTCAATAGGTCCGGTTAAGTCTTACTCACTGGTTATTTAATGAGAAACCTTTTTTTTGTTGTTTGGGGTGAGAAAGAAAGAAGAAAGGGGGGGGGGGGGGGGAGTTCAAAACTCCATTTGACTATGTTTTTCTGATCATTTTAAGTCAATTTGAGGTGTATGTACTCATTGTCGAATGCCCATAGCCATAGGATGTCATCTGTCAATCAAGTGTCTGGGATCACTATCTGGTAAAAGCCATTTATTTAGTAAATTCACCCATCATGTTTGAACTGTTTTTTTTGGCTAAGCACTATGGTATACTGTTCGTCCTGTGATGGCATGGGAATATGGAAATGTTGTGTTAGCACTTCATATGCATACCCCTGTTGATATGCAGTATTCCCAAACATTCTATGTTGCCCTCCATGAGAATGTTCTGATTTGTAGGTCATTCGTTGTTCGGACTTTGGATAATTGCCTTGGGTCAGTTATTACCTGGCTCAAAAATGATGTTCTTCAGTTCTTCCTTTATTGAATTGAAGTAATTAACTATTGCTTAGATAGTATCTTCTCCTTGCCTGACCCTTTTTTATGAAACATAGCCTTGCGTCTATCAGCGGTGATTAGACTTGTTTTGTGGTGATGTCCAGTGAGTGAAGTTAAGTTGATTATTGAAGCCTCTGAATGCCTTTTAGCCATTTTCCCAAGCTGCCTAGAACTTGAACATCCATGTACGGACTACTATTTTTATCCACAAAAACATGAAAGTGCACATGCCTAGTATTTATTCTGAAATTGCATCTTTTGTAGACACTGTCTTTTCATCCAATTGGCTTACAGCAGTTTTGTGGTACAGTGACGGGGGTATATCTTGCTGAGAGGCTTAATGGTTTCTTGGGTGACAATTGGAAAAGCTTTGCAGGCCAGAATTATTTTGACCCCCATGGACTCTTTCTCTCAGTGCTCTGGTCAGGGCCTCTTCTGGTCATGGCAATCATAATCTTGGTCGGTATTCATCCCCACTTCCTACTATGTTATGATTGCACATCGTTGTCTTTCGATCTGAGCATGCTGTTGGTCGTGTTTTCTTTTGCAGGTTAACACCCTCTTTGCTTTATGTCAACTGATTGTTCGGTGGAAGAGAGCAGAGCTCAGACAGCGTGCAAGAGAAGCTCGCAATAAACAGGAATGATTTTAGTCCTCGTTGCTGCTTCACCAAGGCACCGGCATTTTCTTCAATTTGTTATTTAGTATTGTTTTTATTTTGATGGTGAAGAAGTTCTTGATGATCAGCTTACCGACGACCTATATACACGTTGCATACGATTAGTTTCGTTGAAACCTTTGACAAAATAAGCTGCAGACTTTGGCATCAGGATTATAATCTGTTCCTCAGCTGAGGTTTTACTGAACCAACCCACCCTCAGGTTTACTCCTGTGGCGAGGGACATGCACCACTACCTAATGTAAAAAGTATCTTGGTTATGTTGTATTATTTCTTATTTTTGTTTTATCATAATTGATGGCATCACAGAGAATTCAGCTAAATCATGACAAGCTAAGCCACCAAATCAGAGTTTGATTCATTCATAGTAGGGATTGAAAATAAAAATGGTCATATGTAGCAGACCAGAAAACGGGAAACAAAAACTAGGATGGATCTTAGTATATTTGAGAAGTAGAAATTTGTGTTAAAAATAAATTTAGGAAAAAACAATATTTGTATAACCAGGTTAAATTGTTGTAGAACTCCTTTAACATCAAATATTTCTATCGGATTGAATGTACGATTATGTATAAATAACGAGTTATTCTTATTAAATTTTTTTTAATCAAATTTTGCTCGTTGATTGATATGGCAATCATCTATCTCCGTAAAATAAAGGTGGTTCGTTAATATTAATGAAGATAAGTGTGCGCACATTGATTAGTAAGAAAAAAATTGGTATAAAAATTTAGAATATGTATTTATTTGAATTACATAGTGTATTTTCCTATGTTCTATTTATCTGCCTTGAATTCACACTTTTTTTTTTTTTACACATTTTTCTTGCCCTTTGATTGACCGAAATGAATAAAAAACAAAGATGAAACCGTTCATTACATCAACAAATAAAATGACGTATTGCTGTAAAATATTATTTTTCTTTAACTAAAAAATTATTTAAATCAAGATCACATTAAATCCACAATGTTACATAAGAATTTTTTAAATTTTTTTGTGTTAGCGAGGGGTGTTTCTAAAGTATGGTCACTTTGAATTTATTTCTACAAGAATAAACTCTGGATATCTGTAATCACCCGTAAATCACATGTTTCAATTAAACACGAGAGATACTAGCAAAAATCGAACTCATGACATTTTGGGTTTACGGTTCATTTAGATATAACTCCAAATCACTGAATTACCTTTTCGGGTTACATAACAATTCTTACATATCTCATTGTTCTTTTAAAATTTAATTTATTTCTATAGTTGTTTTGGAGTTTTGATTAAAATTATCCAACCTTAATTTTTATTTTTCAAAAATGATGCACATCCAAGTGGAATGATACTTAGTTAATAATATTAACTTTTATGTATGTACTAAAAAAATGGCGCTCTCAATTTGCTCCGACAGTTAATTTTGTTTTGTTCTGTTGATTTTGCGATTTTGTTGTTTAGTCCTATTTTTCCCCGTTCTTTGTGATCTAGGTATTGATTAAATTCATCTATTATACCATAATGAATTCCTCACTGATCACATCCGTAAAATCTTACCGGAGCCTAAAAATAAGTTTCACAATCATGTTAAGTTTTAGCGGGTTCATCTCAAAATCATTAAACTCATATACAATTCATTTGTTAAACAATATAAAAATCACAAAAATCGAACATAGTTTGTTTATTAAACAAATTATACGATACGATCTCACATACTTGTTAATCATATAACACAAAAAATTCTTAGTTATACATCCGTAATAAAATTAAATTTTTTATTAAGCAAATAATCAGATGATAAGTCGATAATCGGGTGATAAATAAGTAATCGTGTGGTAAACTGGTAATCGGGTAATATATTAATTTGTTAAAATGGTTAAAGTACTCCACTTAAATACGATTAATTTATTACTTGTATAATCTGATTGTCACTCAAACTCATTAATATTAAATTCAAATTAACTAATTTTATATCAACACGACGGGTGAAGTTAAATTTCATTAGGCCTGCCTGAAAGTCCAACTGTTTAGAGAGAGAAAAGAAAAGAGAGGGTGTGTGGTTGTGTCTTTCCCGCCAAGACCAACCGTCTAGAGAGAGAGAGAGAGAGAGAGAGAGACAATACTACATCTCACACTCTGTCTTACACATACGCAGTGAACACTTCACCCATTGCTCCAAGAAACGCAGTTGCTCCCTCCCGCTCTTTCTCAACTGCAAGAACCCTGCTTTCTGTCCCAACCCTAAATCAATGGCAGAACCCTCCAAATCTCAGACCCAGATTGAAATGAAGCAACCACCAACGTCATTACAACCAAGAATTTCCATCGATCTCAGCACCGAAGACCTAATCAAAGAACAGAGAGTCCCCTTATTCGGATCCCTATCACGTGGAAGAGAGAACACTTGGGTCATCTCTCTCTTTGTCATCCTCCACTTGGTGGCATTTGCAGCCACCATGCTTGTCAATGATTGTTGGCAAAACTCTCATGGTGAATGCGCATTGAAACCCCTCGGAAGGCTTTCTTTTCAGCCTCTATCAGAGAATCCCCTGTTCGGTCCCTCGGCTTCAGCGTAAGCCTTTTTTTTTTATAAACTTTCTTTCTTGATTTCTCATGTGGGCATTTCGTAGTTGTTCTTCAGTTTGATTATCTGGGTTTGTTTTGCATGCGTTTATCTCGGTTTCTATTTTTCCTCTGTTGGTTGATGAGAAAACCGAGGAAAAGCAAAATAATTCCTAGTTCTTCATGTCTTATGGTCTTTCGTCATAAAAGAATTGCCCTTTTCTCGATTATACATTTGGGTTTCGGGTATCTGGGTTTATCACATTTGTTTCTGTCGTAATGATTAGGTTCTCAATCGCACGTGCTATGTGTGAACTGAAGGTTATAAATATTTCTGTTCTAAAGACTACCAATCTCGCTGTCACCTTATGATTATAAAACTTTTTTATGTTTTGCCCAAGATATATGGATGTATGCATCTTACATACTCTCAACCAATGTAAGCTTATAGAGCAGTTGGTAGTTCAACGTAAACCAAAACCAGGGTCTCGCTTTCATCAAAACTACAAAATTCGATAGACCCTTGGCTAATTTAATCTAGCTAGTGCCACTTCTTCTGCTTAGTGTAATCATATAATATACAGGCACAAAAGGGCACTTACGAACTGTTTCTTATCTATTTCTATTTCTTTTGGTACTTCATCTAGATTTCCTTTTAGTTCAATGGTGAAACATGATTCATGTAGCTGATCCTGGAAATGTTAGGACAAGACTTTGTTGAGTTGAATTGTATCCGGATTTTCTTTTCTTTATTTTTATTTATCCGCCACATTTCTGAATCTGGGGTTAGTGGAGCTTCTTCTCTGCATCTGTGTGATTTATGTTCAAATGCCCAACATTTTGATGCCAATTCTTCACGAGTTCAGGTCATATGTGTAAAATTGGGGAAAGAAAATGATTGGCTTTGGTCATCTAACTTGTCCTCATATATGATTTATTGTTGACTGTATGATCTTTCAAGTTGATTGCTTAGTATCTGATTGCAGGTGATATATTTCCCCTGACCAGTAAATCCTGATTTTCTCAAGTGATTCTGAGAGATGATGTTTCAGTTGTGTGGTTGAATATGTGTTTGGATGGTCACAAATAGAGGGAAAAAAATCAGGGGTGTTTATATGTTATAGTGTTTTGCTACTGTTGTTTCACCTTATATCATTGTTGAATCAAATGCAAGATTTTAATATTGTGTAACACTCTCAGTTCCTATTTGCGAGAGGAGTTTTTGGACTCAAAAATTTTGTAATTTAGTGGGATTTATAACAAGGAACTTAAGATCTCACATTTCTTTTTCTCTAAATTTTGTTGACAAATTTACGTCCTATATTTGGCTGCTTTTCTTGTTCTGGAAATGGTCTATCAGTGTTCTACTCAATTGAGCTACTTATTAAAATTAGCCAAACCCAAATTGTCAGGATAATGCTGTCTTATCGCTGCCATTTCTCTGGTCAATGGTATGCATAAAGCCTTTTTTTAAGCTTACCCAATTCTAAATGGTCAGTTCTGCTGCCTGCCAAACATTCGAGTTCTTGTATTTCTTCAGGCAACCAAAGAATTGCAGAATTAACTTGAATTCCTTTCTTCCCCAATTGATACTAAATTCATTCATCAGATCCACACTATCTGCTGTCTTATCTATGCCATTTCTCTGGTCAATGGTATGCGTAAAGGCCTTTTAAGCTTAAGCCAATTATAAATTGTCAGTTCTGTTGCCAACCAAATAGTTGAGTTCTTGTATTTTTTCAGGCAACCAGAAAATTGTAGAATTAACTGGTCATAGTACTAATTTCAAATGCTGAAATTTACCATACCGAACTTTGTTACTGTTTATATCCATTTTGACAATTGAAATCTTAGTACGAAATTGTTGCCCTACATAGCCTTACAGACTCTGGCCCTATTTAGCTGAATTCACTAGATCAATAGACTGTTACAAAGACCATTAAATTTTATTTCGCCATGCATTGACAATCGCATGGGCTTGTTTATCAGGTAAGGACAGAGTGAAGAAGCAAGTATTGTTAATCAAAAGCTAAAAAATTCTTGTCCAGAATCTTCAGAGATTCAATTTATGTAGTTAAAAATACATATCTGTCATCTCATCTTCATGTGATCAGCACAACATATTAAGGTTTCCTCCAGATTTTTGTCGTGGGCATGGAGATGTAATTATTTTTGCAGTGCTTCAGAAATTGACGAGTCTATGCTCTTGCTGCTGCAGGCTGGATGAAATGGGGGCTGTTCGGGAAAGATTTTTTACAAAGCAACACCAAATATGGCGTCTTTTTACAAGCCCATGTTTGCATGCAGGAGTTATCCATATTATCATCAACCTCTCCAGTGTTATCTTTGTTGGAATTAATTTGGAGCAAGAGTTTGGACCATGTAGATTTATCTCATCTTTAGTTTGTTTGGTGTTCTTAAATAAGGTTCGGTTAGATCTTCATTGGGTTCTAGATTATTACTTCGGTGTTTTCTGCTTTTGTTTGACAGTGAGGATTGGGATTATCTACATACTCTCTGCCTTTACTGGTAGTATGGTGGCTGCACTATTTCTTCAAGATAGATCATCAGTTACTTCTTCTGGTGCTCTGTTTGGATTGCTTGGTGCTATGCTTTCTGGGCTTATCCGGAACTGGAAATATTACACCAAAAAGGTCCTTAACCTTTCTTCTCCTAGCTTTCTATCTTTCAATCGGTCTCTTAACTAGGGTATTTATCTCTCCTTTGTTTGGTTGCAGTTCCCAACTCTTGTAGCTTTTCTCTTCCTCTTGGCTATGAATCTTGTCCTTGGTCTCCTACCTCATGTCAACAATTTTTCAAATGTTGGAGGATTCATATCAGGATTCCTTCTTGGGTTTGTGCTGCTATTCAGCCCTCGGCTAGGGAAAATGGTTCAAAACAAAAGCGGTTTGTTTGATTATGGTGTTAAAGGTTCTCTCAATCTCAGGCAGAAGCTGGACAGGCCAGTGCTGAGGAGTATATCCCTTGTTCTGTTCTCTCTTTTGTGAGTTATTGTTCTAACCTATAATAAGCTAACTTTCTGTTTACCATTATGGCTTTACATGAAATCTTATTAATGGAGACCTCTTCTTGTGCAGACTTGCGGGAGTTATTGTAGCAGTTCTTCATGGCATAAATATGAATAAGTACTGTAGCTGGTGTAGATATATTGACTGTGTTCCCTTTAAATGGTGGAGCTGCAATGACAAGACAATGCATTGTGAGGTATTTCTTAGTTCAGAAATTTGATTTCACATCTTAAATATTCTCCAAATGATTGAAGAAGAAAAGATAAATAAACAAAGAAACAAACAGCAAACTCAATAAGAGGTATGTATTTGTCCCAAAAAAATATCATTTTCCAGGAGCAAAAAAGGAAATTAATCCCCTTTGAAAAAAAATTGAAGTTCTGTTTTTTCACGTCAGGGATGATATTATTAGTCCCTCCATGCTGAACAGAATGAGAGGCAAAGATTTGATGGTTTTCCAAGCTATACATTTTTTTTTTATGTTTCAGTTGGATGGTGAAACTACCTTGGGAAAAAAATCAAACAAGAAGAAACTGGAATCTTATAGCAGATTGGAGTTGGAGAGGCTGTCTGTTGTAACACACAGATTGATATAGAACCTGACATAATCTAGAAAACACTCCCCAGCTTGAACTTGCCCTATCATTGGGAATACCTAAAGTTGCCTAGTTAACGACGAAGCAGCCTTGAAACTTTGTTTTTCCTTTTTTCTTTGTTTTCCTTGTCAGTACTGGATTTTCATAAAAGGAGACATGTAAATTAGGTAAAACTTAGAAGGCAGAAGATATACTAGAATTAGTCTTTAACAATTGTTAATTATCCCCATGGTTTTTGATAGATAATGCATCATGAGTATATTTGGTGGAACATTCCAGTTGTACAGTTGAAATTTGATTATTGGTAAATGCATGCAGACAATGATAAGCTCAGAGTATATGACTTTAACTTGTGCGAATAATGGCAAGTTCAGGGATTTCCCATTCGCCAACGTCTCACAAGCAAGGATTGAGGATCTATGCAATCTGATATGCTCTTAGAACGTTCTTAGTTTTAATAATCTTGTATAGATTTTTGACTCTGATTAAACTAGACTCACTTTCGGATGTCAATACTGTTTTTCAATGATCATCCATCTTGGATGTTTGTAGTGCCATTGTGGCAATCATTCTTTTGATTGCATAAGCACATTTTTCGTAGAAACAATAAGGTTTGAGTTGAAAGTCAATGTGATGTCTCGGATATATAATTGATGAATTTAAAAATGATAGTTTTTGCTTGTGGCCTCGCTCTTAGTAACAACAATTCATTTGTGCGCGTCGCAAACAAAGAAGATTTTTGTGGATATTAAAATTATAATTGAACAGATTGAAAATGCAGTCTTCTTCAGCAACGTCTTTGTCATTTATATATCCAAACTAAATTTCGATAGGAAGTTGTGTAAGTTCATAGCCATGGATGGGGTGTTTGTAATATGTACTATTTATGTGTTGCAATGGAGAATGAGCGTTGGCTCAATGATAAAATTGCTCAATTGTACCTTGATTGAATTATGGAAATAGTCTCTTCATATGTAGAGGTAAAGTTGCATATATTGCACTTCTCATATTGAAGGGAGTCGAGTGCATTGGGTTATCAGTTTTTAAAAGTTTTGGTTCAGAATAGTGGAAAAAAAATTGCCCTATCACCACATGGCTTTGGATTGGTTGCCGAAGTTGCGGGCGGACTTTGGTGCAACTGTACAATTGTTTCATTGTAACTTAAATATTATGTATTTGAATTACAGAAATAGTTTCTTCTCATGTGAATAGTTTTTGAAGTTACAAGACCAAAAAACGAGGTGGGATTTGAGTTTAGGGATTGGACCTAGGGTTATATTGTGGCTCTCCTTGTTGAACTGGATAGCTTTCCCTTTCCCTTTCCCTTTCTCGTCTTAAGCTTTTTTTTTTTAAAAAAATGAAGACAAAGACAAGTGGTATTTGGTTGATTTCTCAACCTTGATGCCACGTGTTCAAATCTACTATTAAAATAAAATATCAAACGACAAGGTTACATAAGATTATAGAAGTACAACGAAAAATGATGTAATTTTTTTTAGTGGACTCCATTTTGACCATGGCATTTCTTATTTTCTTTTCCTTTTCCGCCTCCTTAAAGTCTATAAGTAAAGATGCGTAAATACTTTGAATTAATTATTGAAGTCTATAAGTAAAGATGCATAAATTCTTTTCTTTTTCCACCTCCTTAAACTCTTAAGTAAGATCCACAAATTGTTACATTAGTAATACTTTGAGTTAGCAATCCTTAAAGCCCATAAATTGTTATATTAGTAATACTTTTTGTTTGAATAAATTGGTAATACTTTGAGTTAATTGTATAATTGTATACTAATTATAATTTTTTTTTATAAAAAAATTAGATTTTTATTTTAAATTTTATGTCAATAAATGGCATAATAGAACATGAATTTTTGTTGTAAAATTTAAAATATTTGATATTTTATTTTTGATTGAAATATTTTTAATCTAAATATAATATTTTAAATTTAAAAGATCTAAGTATTACACGCTTACAAACTTTAGGACGCAAGGGTCTAAGTATTATGTAAGTATAAACTTTAAAGAATCTATATGTAATATTTTTAAATTAGTTATTGCATGTGCCTAAAGGTACAGAGTAATGAAAAATAATAAATAAAAACATATTTATATTTATATTCAAAATCAAATCACAAATATAGAGAAGAAATAAAAAAATTTAAGCATCGATTTGTAATAGAGGTGAGAGATGGTGGGCGGCAGTGGTGGTGGTAGGAGACGATGATAGTTGTGGTGGGTGACAATGACCCTGGTGGTGGCGGCGGTGGTAATGGTGAGGCGGTTTTAAACACTATTTTTTTTAAAGCATTTATGAGATGTAATTTCTAGAAATATTTTTAAAAAGTCACTTCAAACATACCATTAGAGTCCTATTTTTAATATTAAATTTAGGGTGTTAATATTAGCCGTTAGATTAACTTTAAAGTAAAATTTAAAGCGATTTCAATCGCGAATAACAAAAGTGATTTTGTTTATCTTTTAAAATTTAAATTGTAAGTTATTTTATTATATAGATGTTAAGGAATTTAAATGATTAAGTAAGTAATTTTTTTATTCATTTTTATTTTTATTTTTTTGTAGATAAAGGCTTTTGAGTGCGTTCACATCTCCCGTCTGGTATCCTATCCATGAAATAGTGGGAAAAATTAAACAAAAAATATCTAATCCAAACCGGCCGGTCCGGTTCTCTTCGGATAAACTTATCTTCAAACAGTAACGAACTATGAAGAGAATGACCCTGAAACCAAGGCCACCCCCCACAGAAAACTTTTACAGTTCATGCTTCATAATTTCACACACACACAAACGCATACCTAGAGTTCAAAGTTAACATTTCGAACAACCCATAGAAGAAAATGCTCATCCAGCCCACCATTTCACCTCCTTTACAACACTCCCTACATAGGTATCACAGTTCTTTTGTTATCAGAACTCTTAAACC